CAGCAGCAGCAGCAGCAGCAGCAGCAACAGCCGCAGCGCCGCGGTCTCTGCGATTGAGCTGGTATTTGGGCGGCTGGTGGCGGCTGGGACGGTTGGGGGGTGGGAGGAGGCGAAGGAGGAGGGAGAACCCCGTGCAACGTTGGGACTTGGCAACCCGCCTCCCCCTGCCCAAGGATATTTAATTTGCCTCGGGAATCGCTACTTCCAGAGGGGAACTCAGGAGGGAAGGCGCGCGCGCGCGCGCTCCTGGAGGGGCACCGCAGGGACCCCCGACTGTCGCCTCCCCGCGCCGGACTCCAGCTGGGGCGACGAGAGATGCATCTTCGCTCCTTCCTGGTGGCGGCGGCGACTGAGAGGAGACTTGGCTCTTGGAGGATCGGGGCTGTCCTCACCCCGGACGCACTGCCTCCCCGCCGGGCGTGAAGCGCCCGAAAACTCCGGTCCGGCTCTCTCCTTGGCTCAGCAGCTGCGTCCTCCTTCAGCAGCCCCTCCCCGGCGCGGGGGGCGGCGTGGATTTCGGAGTCGGGGTTTCTGCTGCCTCCAGCCCTGTTTGCATGTGCGGGGCCGCAGCGAGGAGCCTCCGCCCCCCACCCGGTTGTTTTTCGGCGCCTCCCTCTGCTCAGTGGCGGTGGCGGCGGCAGCAGCATGGCGAGCCCTCCGGAGAGCGATGGCTTCTCGGACGTGCGCAAGGTGGGCTACCTGCGCAAACCCAAGAGCATGCACAAACGCTTCTTCGTACTGCGCGCGGCCAGCGAGGCTGGGGGCCCGGCGCGCCTCGAGTACTACGAGAACGAGAAGAAGTGGCGGCACAAGTCGAGCGCCCCCAAACGCTCGATCCCCCTTGAGAGCTGCTTCAACATCAACAAGCGGGCTGACTCCAAGAACAAGCACCTGGTGGCTCTCTACACCCGGGACGAGCACTTTGCCATCGCGGCGGACAGCGAGGCGGAGCAAGACAGCTGGTACCAGGCTCTCCTACAGCTGCACAACCGTGCCAAGGGCCACCACGACGGAGCTGCGGCCCTCGGGGCGGGAGGTGGCGGGGGCAGCTGCAGTGGCAGCTCCGGCCTTGGTGAGGCTGGGGAGGACTTGAGCTACGGTGACGTGCCCCCAGGACCCGCGTTCAAAGAGGTCTGGCAGGTGATCCTGAAGCCCAAGGGCCTGGGTCAGACAAAGAACCTGATTGGTATCTACCGCCTCTGCCTGACCAGCAAGACCATCAGCTTCGTGAAGCTGAACTCGGAGGCAGCCGCCGTGGTGCTGCAGCTGATGAACATCAGGCGCTGCGGCCACTCGGAGAACTTCTTCTTCATCGAGGTGGGCCGTTCTGCCGTGACGGGGCCCGGGGAGTTCTGGATGCAGGTGGATGACTCCGTGGTGGCCCAGAACATGCACGAGACCATCCTGGAGGCCATGCGGGCTATGAGCGATGAGTTCCGCCCTCGCAGCAAGAGCCAGTCCTCGTCCAACTGCTCCAACCCCATCAGCGTCCCCCTGCGCCGGCACCATCTCAACAACCCCCCGCCCAGCCAGGTGGGGCTGACCCGACGATCTCGCACTGAGAGCATCACTGCCACCTCCCCGGCCAGCATGGTGGGCGGGAAACCAGGCTCCTTCCGCGTCCGCGCCTCCAGTGACGGCGAAGGCACCATGTCCCGCCCAGCCTCGGTGGATGGCAGCCCTGTGAGTCCGAGCACCAACAGAACCCACGCCCACCGGCATCGGGGCAGTGCCCGCCTGCACCCTCCGCTCAACCACAGCCGCTCCATCCCCATGCCAGCTTCCCGCTGCTCGCCTTCGGCCACCAGCCCCGTCAGTCTGTCGTCCAGCAGCACCAGCGGCCATGGCTCCACCTCGGATTGTCTCTTCCCACGGCGATCTAGTGCTTCGGTGTCTGGTTCTCCCAGCGATGGCGGTTTCATCTCCTCAGATGAGTATGGCTCCAGTCCCTGCGATTTCCGGAGTTCCTTCCGCAGTGTCACTCCGGATTCCCTGGGCCACACCCCACCAGCCCGCGGTGAGGAGGAGCTAAGCAACTATATCTGCATGGGCGGCAAGGGGCCCTCCACCCTGACCGCCCCCAACGGTCACTACATTTTGTCTCGGGGTGGCAATGGTCACCGCTACACCCCAGGAACAGGCTTGGGCACGAGTCCAGCCTTGGCTGGGGATGAAGCATCCAGTGCTGCAGATCTGGATAATCGCTTCCGAAAGAGAACTCACTCTGCAGGCACATCCCCTACCATTACCCACCAGAAGACCCCGTCCCAGTCCTCAGTGGCTTCCATTGAGGAGTATACAGAGATGATGCCTGCCTACCCACCAGGAGGTGGCAGTGGAGGCCGACTGCCGGGACACAGGCACTCTGCCTTCGTGCCCACCCACTCCTACCCAGAGGAGGGTCTGGAAATGCACCCCTTGGAGCGTCGGGGGGGCCACCACCGCCCAGACAGCTCTACCCTCCACACTGATGATGGCTACATGCCCATGTCCCCAGGGGTGGCCCCAGTGCCCAGCAGCCGAAAGGGCAGTGGAGACTATATGCCCATGAGCCCCAAGAGCGTGTCTGCCCCACAGCAGATCATCAATCCCATCAGACGCCATCCCCAGAGAGTGGACCCCAATGGCTACATGATGATGTCCCCCAGCGGTGGCTGCTCTCCTGACATTGGAGGTGGCCCCAGCAGCAGCAGCAGCAGCAGTGCCGTCCCTTCCGGGAGCAGCTATGGAAAGCTGTGGACAAACGGGGTAGGGGGCCACCACTCTCATGTCTTGCCTCACCCCAAACCCCCAGTGGAGAGCAGCGGTGGCAAGCTCTTACCTTGCACAGGTGACTACATGAACATGTCACCAGTGGGGGACTCCAACACCAGCAGCCCCTCCGACTGTTACTATGGCCCTGAGGACCCACAGCACAAGCCAGTCCTCTCGTACTACTCATTGCCAAGATCCTTTAAGCACACCCAGCGCCCTGGGGAGCCGGAGGAGGGTGCCCGGCATCAGCACCTCCGCCTTTCCGCTAGCTCTGGTCGCCTTCTCTATGCTGCAACAGCGGATGATTCTTCCTCCTCTACCAGCAGCGACAGCCTGGGTGGGGGATACTGTGGGGCTAGGCTGGAGCCCAGCCTTCCACATCCCCACCATCAGGTTCTGCAGCCCCATCTGCCTCGAAAGATGGACACAGCTGCTCAGACCAATAGCCGCCTGGCCCGGCCTACGAGGCTGTCCCTGGGGGATCCCAAGGCCAGCACCTTACCTCGGGCCCGAGAGCAGCAGCAGCAGCAGCAGCAGCAGCAGCAACAGCAGCAACAGCAGCCCCTGCTGCACCCTCCGGAGCCCAAGAGCCCAGGGGAATATGTGAATATTGAATTTGGGAGTGATCAGCCTGGCTACTTGTCTGGCCCGGTGGCTTCCCGTAGCTCACCTTCTGTCAGGTGTCCATCCCAGCTCCAGCCAGCTCCCAGAGAGGAAGAGACTGGCACTGAGGAGTACATGAAGATGGACCTGGGGCCGGGCCGGAGGGCAGCCTGGCAGGAGAGCACTGGGGTCGAGATGGGCAGACTGGGCCCCGCACCTCCCGGGGCTGCTAGCATTTGCAGGCCTACCCGGGCAGTGCCCAGCAGCCGGGGTGACTATATGACCATGCAGATGAGTTGTCCCCGCCAGAGCTATGTGGACACCTCGCCAATTGCCCCTGTAAGCTATGCTGACATGCGGACAGGCATTGCTGCAGAGGAGGTGAGCCTGCCCAGGGCCACCATGGCTGCTGCCTCCTCATCCTCAGCAGCCTCTGCTTCCCCCACTGGGCCTCAAGGGGCAGCAGAGCTGGCTGCCCACTCATCCCTGCTGGGGGGCCCACAAGGACCTGGGGGCATGAGCGCCTTCACCCGGGTGAACCTCAGTCCTAACCGCAACCAGAGTGCCAAAGTGATCCGTGCAGACCCACAAGGGTGCCGGAGGAGGCATAGCTCCGAGACCTTCTCCTCAACACCCAGTGCCACCCGGGTGGGCAACACAGTGCCCTTTGGAGCCGGGGCAGCAATAGGGGGTGGTGGCGGTAGCAGCAGCAGCAGCGAGGATGTGAAACGTCACAGCTCTGCTTCCTTTGAGAATGTGTGGCTGAGGCCTGGGGAACTTGGGGGAGCCCCCAAGGAGCCAGCCCAACTGTGTGGGGCTGCTGGGGGTTTGGAGAATGGTCTTAACTACATAGATCTGGATTTGGTCAAGGACTTCAAACAGCGCCCTCAGGAGTGCACCCCTCAACCGCAGCCTCCCCCACCCCCACCCCTTCATCAACCCCTGGGTAGCAGTGAGAGCAGCTCCACCCCCCGCCGCTCAAGTGAGGATTTAAGCGCCTATGCCAGCATCAGTTTCCAGAAGCAGCCAGAGGACCTTCAGTAGCTCAACTGGACATCACAGCAGGTGCGTTTCATGGTGACAAAGTCAGAAGACAAAACTGTTTTTAACCTTGTGCTTCAATTCTGTTCTTCGCCTCTGCCCCTTCCTGTTCTTTCCCACTGCTTCCTCAGGGAGAATGCGCTTACATTCTCAGGGTACACAAGATGCTCACCCCACACTGACATCTGGCAGAGAGTCAAACAAACATGTAGGAGCAGCCACAGGAGGGCTTTTTCGTTTGAGAATTTCCAAGTGAAGGAGTTACTGCCATATTTTTAAAACGTATATCCTATGCCAGTTCTGAGGTTTGTAAAGTTCCTACATAAGAAGCTTGATTGGTTTGTTGAAGTTTTCTTTTCACTATATATTTAAGTCAGCCCCTACAGGGACCGTGCTACAGAAAATATTTATTAACACAGGGGCTAAACCCTTCCTTTAAGATAGTTTCTGGGAGCCCTTAAGGGTGATCTTATCGAGTTGTTCTCTGTCCTTTCGTTCTGTGATTTCATAATACCAAGGCAACATAAACAGTAGCGGGAAACATTGATTTCTATTCATCCTGCCCTAAAAAGATAAGGAGTAAGAGCGTTTTAGAAATACATATTTAGAGAGAAGTCCCTATCTATTTTTATGATCTCTCAAAGTAATTATGGGTTACATTGTCCTTTTGTTCCTGTACCAGGATTTGTGAAATATTATTCACACACCAACCCACCATCCCACAGGCCTGGCCTGTCTCATACAGGATATGCAGGAAACTCTGTATGTGTCTGGGACCCATGATTAAGAGTTATGGGAGTTCATCCTAGGATGTCTGCCTTACAGTTACCTCTTCTTACACTGAGACATTACAGATATCATTTGGGGGCTACTGTACATCTTCTGTAAAATAACTTTTATTTGTTGAGAAGAATGCATACTAAGGAACATGCCTTAATATGTTCTATTTTGTTTTGCATTGAATAGAAGGGCTAAACTGTATACCCTCCACTTTTAGGGTATTTGTTGTGTGCCTTTAAGTTCAAGAGTAGACACCGCAGTAAATGCTGAAAGTTGGCTTTAGGTCTCCTGTGGCTAATGCCATATTGAAAATGAAAAACATTTGTAATAGGAAATTAGCCTGCCCTTCGTTCTGTTGATCCTGTTTTCTGGTGGTCATGATTGTGGGTAGAAGAGAGGAGTACAGTTTGCAAATAATGTGATGAGTTGGCAATACAGAAGTTTCCAGCATTTGGAAACATTTTACTCTGACAAACTGATTATCTTGTGAATTTTATCTATGCTCCACAGAATAAGCTTTTCAAAGCATTGATTTTTCTTAATTTGTGTCAATTCATAAGAAATTAATCTGTGCCCTGGTTTCCTATTGATAGGTATTTGTTTATCATGTGTTCGTAGTCTTCTTAATTCTGTTTCCAATATTCGATCCATATCATTCTCTATTTTGTAGAAGAAGAAAAAGGTATATGAACACTGAAATGAAGATTTTAGGTGATATGTTATAAAAAGCATTTATTTGATAAGCATTTATTTCAACATTTATTTTCATCATTCACTAGAAGATTTAATTGTGTATGTCAACGTCAACAGTACAAATCTTGTTGTATCAAATGATGTTTTTGGGAGTCAGAATCCCTCAACACTTTAAGCATTTGTATTATAAAGTGCCTCATTGGTAAAATAATGAGAATTTGAAGGAAACAAGCCCAGCAGAACTAAAATTTTGGTTTTAAAGGAGATGAAGAAAGTTTTTCTTACTTGTCATCTTAATTTTTTTAGGTTTCTTTTTATAGAGTAGAATAAATAATGTTTGCTCTGAAGAAAATTGATGTCCAACTAGAATTTTCATTTTTAAAAAGGGCTTTAAAATAAAATTCTCCTATGTGTTGGATGCATTTAAAAAAAAAACAAAACTCTACAACCTTCTATCCTTAACCTTCTTTGGGAAAATAAAATATTCTGGAATAATCATAAAATCCTATTTCTAATAATTCTGGAGTAACAATAGACCATGCTTTGCACCGTACCAGGAAAATTCTACAATGCATATTTGAGATGTTTGTGTTGGTGTTTAAAGTGAGGCACCAAATGCTACCTGGCACATTTACATCCTGATTTCTGCTTGCTTGCCTGTGCCCTGTTGAGTTCAAAGATGTTATTCCATAGTTATCTGAAACAGACAGAAGTCAGACCTGTGAGTGGCAAACAGCTTCTGCTCTGAATGAGTATGTGTGTGCAAACATTATTTTCCTCACTTCCTCAGCAATTGCTGTCTTTGCTCTTTTTCCTCATTTCTCAGGTAAAACCTGAGACTCGGTGAAAGGAATAGAGGTGTGATGAGGGGTGTGCGCTGTTGAAACATCTCGGCTTGTTTAAAATTTTTCATTGTGTTAGAGGACAACACTTGTGAAGCACTGAGCTCAGGAGTTCGACTTGTTGGAAGCCTTTCTGCTTTACCTGTAGTCCAGTAACCTTTTCTGCCTGCCCTTTCTCTTGCATCGCCTCTTAGTTCTGGCCTGCTCGTTTTCTAGTACTATCCCCTGCCATCCCTTTGTTTCCACCTCTTATTTCATGTTCCTGACAATGTCCTTTTTTTCTTTTGCTCCTTTTCAGAATTTCGCAGTACTTGTGGCCCCCTCTCTGCAGAGAGTAAATTGAGAGCCCAAGAAGCAGGGCAAAAAGAGCCTCTCAGACTCGGTCATAGCAGCCCCGCCACCTTTACCCGGCATCAAATTTGTCTTTTAGTTTTGAAACTGCAGGGCCTTTTGGGTTCAGTTTTTTGTTTTTGTCATTCTTTGTTATGCCCTCCCCCTTTAAAAGACCAAAAAAAAAAAGAAAAAAAAAAAAACCAGAAAAAGACTCTTTCCATTTCTTTTTCATTCTGTTTCGTTTTATGTGATGTCAAGGATTCCGTACCTCCAAGGTTGCCTCCCCTCCCTCCCTTTTCCCCAGCCGTGTGGCCTTTTTGGCTGGCGCAAACCCTCTCAGCCCTGGCACTTTCCCTTTTCCGGGTCACCTCCGCTTCCTGCATTCCTTCTCCTCCCTCCTCCGAGCCCCCTTTCGCCCGGGGTGGGGGAACCTGCAGCCAGGCCGCCCTCGGGTCTCCCGCCCCCGCCCGTCTCGGGTCATCCCGGGCGGCCGGGCCCCTTCCCGGGCCGCGTGGTCGGCGCTGGCTGGCGAGGCCCCGCCCTCGGGTACAGCCGCGCGGCTCCGGGTCCCGGGCGGGCGGGGCGGCTGGGCGCTGATTGGCCCGCACCACAGCCAATCAGCGTGTGAAACGGCTGAGCCGCGGCGGGCGCGGGGCGGGGCCTTCCGCAGGTCCCCTGGAGGTGGTAGCGGGCGGGCGGCCCTGGGCTGCTTTCTACCACCCGGCCTGACACCTCTTTCCCACTGGTGCCTGCAGGCTGAACCACAGGTCCCCTCCGTACCGCGCCCGCCGACTGAGGACGTTGTGCCCTCAGCCGTATTCTTGCATTTGGACCAGAATCCTAAGAACGAAAAAGTCCAACCAGCCCACGGACGGGGGCCGGAAACACACACTTCCTCTTATTTTTAATTGAGAAAAATCCAGGCCGTAACCATGTGATGAGCCCCATTTTGTTTCCCTCCTCTCTTTACTACGGTTTACTACGAGGCAACGTTCCTTCGTCTTCCTGTCTCGAGATCCGCGAGCAGGAAGGGCGCCCCGCACGTGGCTGCGGGCCTGCGGGCCGGGTGGGGTTGGTCCGCGATTCCTGCCCGCCCCCCGCCACCGAGGGAGGGAGAGAGGCCTGCGAGTGCTGCAGCGGCCGTCGTTTTTGGTCACTGGGGGAGGGGAAGTTCCTTTGGCTTGAAAGTGCCCTAGGCTCCATAGGCTTTACTGCAAAGCACCTGAGCTAGGTAAGAGCTGGGAAAACGCATCCTCCTGGGCTGTGAGGGAGCTCACAGAGAAATGAAAGACGGTACTGCGGCTTGCAGATCCTGAGAACTCGGTGTGACAAGGGTTTGGGTAGTGTGTTCCTTCAAGGCTTAGAGGAAATGCTGTCGCGTTCTCAGACACAGATTCATTTTTCCATCATTGACAGTCCCAGTGACAGCCCGTCAATTTAGGCTAGGCACATCGATTTTGAAAGCTTGCTAGATTTGTGTTGTGCACCCTCCAGTAACCAAAATTATGTGAGATATATTACTACATGGGATGGAAAATGTGTTGAGATTTGGCCTTTCTAAAATAAGGAAAATAAGAAAGAGAAGTGCTATGGGCGTATTTTCTCCTTCCCTCTCAAATAAGCATTTCTCACCAGCCAGCATCCCTCTTGCATCACTGAGTCATAAGATCCCAGAGCAGCGCTTTTTCTGAGGGGCCAAGTGAAACATCACGGGTGGAAACGTACCAAGCAGGTGCAAATGCTATGCCCCAAAACTGCTACTGAGCAGTGGGAGAGAGTTTCTCTGTTATTCCAGAAAAGTTTGAGCATCTAATAATTTGCTTAACTTTTGCAATTGTTTAAGTAGCTTTTTATATTAAAAAAATCCATAAAATGTTGCATATATTGTAGTCATTTCTCTTAGTTTACCCTCAATAAATACTATCTCCAGCATTGCCTTACAAGAAGAGACTTGGGATCCAAAGGGCATGCCACTTTTTTTTCTTTTTAATCAGAATTCCAGGAATATAGCTTTGTGCTATCTTAAATGATGCAATGGAAAAAGCAGTTCTTGGGAGCCAGAGATCTTGGGCTCCAACACAGCCTGTGCCCTTCACCAGCTGAGTGACCTTGGGCAAGTCACTTAATTTCTCTGGACCTATTTCTTCATCAGTAACTTGAGGATTTTGTTCTCGATTATTCTAACCTCCTTTGCAGCTCTAAACATAGGAATGTTGTGGAGAAAATGACTGATACTCTTTAATGGGTCAGTTGCAATGAGGATTCTGAAGAAGAAGCTGTTGACAGGGTCATCATAAAGCATTAGAATAGCCTGTTCTGTCCATTTCTAACCTTTGGATCAGACATTCTTTACGGCCAGACCAGGGCCTGGAAGGAAAACATCGTTTGATTCGGGCCTGACATTAACCTTTCTTGCTTCAAAGGGGCGTTTTCAAGTTTTAACAGACCCCAAGACAAACCCTCCTGACTAACCAGCCTAAGTTTTTGGAACCATCTCTAGAGTGGATTATGCTCCTCTTCCTTCCACCTTTTTAAAAATAAAATGTGTGTGGGAAGGCAAGGCACCTGCTAGTTCCTACATCCTAAGGTCAGCTCTCAGAAACATCCCACCCCTCCCCACAGTATAGATTAAGCTTTAACCAGTGCACACTGCGGAAATTAACACATGCATCCTGTTGGAAATCACCTCTTTTCCAGGGGTGGTGTGTTTGTGGATAATGTTTCGCATTTGTACCATCAGTGTTCTTCAGTGAGATAGCCATTTAAGTGAATGGAAAGGAAATTTGAGAAGCCAATTGGGGACTATAGGAGGTCTTCCAAAATTTTTTGTTTAGCTTTATTTTTCTCGCTTAGGTGTATGAAACAACTCAATATTTCTCTTGCTGGCAAAATTTGTGTTGTCCAGATTTTTTTTGTGCTTTAGGATTTTTGATTAGTTGAGCCAACACTGCTCTTCCAACACTGTGTTATCTTGGCTGTTGAGTTGCCAGTATATTCAGAAGCTCCTGCCTTTTTTGTCCCTCCATGTGGATTTCACAAGTCATTAAAATAGTCTGTTGCCTCTTAAGAAACTCCATGGACTTATTCTCTTCCAATCCTCTCACTATAATCAGATATGTCTTAGTTGAATAGTATATAAATCGTTCCTTTTATTTTGATGGGTTGCTAATTTAGTATATTGGAACATTTCACGGTTTTAAGGTTTTGTTTTGTTTTAAAGAAAGCCATTTCCTCAATTATTTCCTCATGTTACGAAGTTACGGGAAATTGTATTCAAGGAAAATAGCTTCTTGTGAATCATGCTTGAAGCCAGTTTCACACTAAAGATCCTGTAACCTTTTTGCATACTAGTATTTTTTTGTATGTAAAATAATAGATCCTGCCTCTACCACATTTATAATTATGTAACTGATTTATTCTTTTGTTACCTTATTAGTCCATAACTATGCAGCAGACTTTGAAAGTTCTTTTTAAAATGTTGTTGAAACATGTTCAGAAAGTATAATCATATTGAATTTTAACTTAAAATTACATTTAAATATTAGTATAATATAATTGTATACTAATTTCATAGTATGACATAGTTACTAAAATTTATTGTAAAGCTTTTTAAGATGATAGATTAGTAAGTATCATCTATTTGCTTCTATTTTCGTCTTACACCTTGGAAATGGTAGTATCTCTCCCATTCTTAATTCACTGAAAAAGGGAGAAGATGGATTAGATAAGTATAAGGTACTGTCATGTGTGATAAAAGGAACACTTTTCATTTTAATAGTAGTCTTGCAACAGGCTCTGCTATAATCTATTTGTTGAAATAAATTTGGTTGGATAAATGTTATTTGTGCTTATTCAGTGAGTCAGTGATCTTCAAATAATAGAGCTTTGAAAAAGATGTGTTTATGTTGAAAAAGCTTTTTGACCCTTTTTCTGTATTTTCCATTGATAATGGCAGTAGAGTTGAACACATAGGTCAGACTGTGATTCTAGTTGCAGTTATCTTAAAGCAGAATGGAGATTTTGTGGTTTTATTACTCTACCAGGAATGTTTTATTGAGTAAGCTGAGTTGGATTGCATTCATTGTATTCCTTTTACCATCCCAAGTTTTTAAAATATTGAATATTACATATGTATCCTTGCACTCCGCTTTTATTGTTGACCAAAGAATACTTTGATAGGTGTTCTCTGATCCTCCCTGACATATTTAGGTCATGTTACTGAACAGTATCACTTAATCTTGAGAAGTTTTCTCACATTTGTTGAAATGATCAAAGAGACTTTTTTTTTTCCCCAAATATATGTAATGTGGCAAACAAATTATGTTTTGCACAGAAAGTCATGATTTTTACTTTTAGGAAGGATATGATCTAAGTTAGCTAGCAAAATATTAAAAGCCATTTACAAACATTTAGCAGTTAGTTAAAGGCCACTGGAATATTCAGTAATTGCTCTGTAGTCAACTATAATTTATCTAATCTTCTTCAATCGTCATGTCCCTATTCACTTCAAAATTATTTGGAGGGCTCTATGGATATGAAAAATAGTTATATTTACCCTTGAGTTTTAGGGGTTGTGGGAACAATCAGAAGATCGGAAGATCTTTAATTGTCTTTAATACTATTCAAGCCCATCACCCATTTCTCAAGCCTAACATAAATTATCTGCTTTTGGTCAAATAGGCCCTAAGCCATTTTTTGTTGTTCTTCCCCTCTCCTGCCTTTTACTCAGTAAGCACTATTGAGCACCTATCATGTTCCATGTAGTACACCTTTTAGTGAAAGGGGATGAAGGTAGATTCATGGAAATGGAGGGAAAAAATGGTACTGACAGGAGATCACCAAAGTAGTTACCAAATTTCTTATGACAGAAGTTATCCGGGAGAAACAAATCAAGATTCAGATTGTGTAGTTCACAAAAGTTGGCATTTTTCATAAACCTAATGGGCAAAAGTGCCCATCTACCTTAAAGGTTTGTGTTTTTCTAAATCTTTCTAACCATGGCTTCCTGTCTGACAATATCATCAGCATACTAAATAATCAGGAAGGCTGTTGAAACTCTCATTTGGAAGAATGGCCCGTTTTTGGATATTAAGCTTGCAAATGTAATATTGACAAAAAGCAGGAAAAAGATATCTTGGCTTTGGATCTTTAGTCCCAGTGAAAGTAGCCAGAA